GCATGGCTTCACCAAGGGCAAGTCCTGGCTCACCAACCTACTGGCCTTCTACGATGGAGTGACCACATCAGTGGACAAGGAAAGAGCTACTGATGTCATCTATCTGGACTTCTGTAGGGTTATTGACATGGTCCCCCAACAACATCCTTCTCTCTAAATTGGAGAGAGAGGGATTTGATGGATGGACTATTAAGTGGATAACAAATTGGTTAGATGGACACATCCAGAGGGTAGTGGTCAACGGTTAAATGTCCAGATAGAGATCGGTGACGAGTTTTGTCTCCCAGGGGTCCGTACGGGGACCGGAACTGTTAATATCTTCATCAACGACATAAGACAGTGGGACTGAGGGCACCCGCAGCAAGTTTGCAGATGACACCAAGCTGAGTGGTGCGCTTGACATGCCGGAGGGACAGGGTGCCATGCAGAGGGACCTGGACAAGCTCAAGACATGGGTTCATGTGAACCTCATGAGGGTCAACAAGGTCAAGGTCAGGGTCCTGCACCTGAGTCAGGGCAACCCCCAGTATCAATGCAGGCTGGCAGATGAAGGGATTGAGAGCAGCCTTGCCAAGAAGGACTTGGGGGTACTGGTGGATGAAAAGCTGAACATGAGCCAGCAATGTGCACTCACAGCCCAGAAGGCCAACTGTATCCTGGGCTTCAGCCAAAGCAGCGTGGCCAGCAGGTCGAGGGAGATGATTCTGCCCCTCTACTCTGGTGAGGCCCCACCTGCAGTCCTGCATCCAGCTCTGGAGCCCTCAGCACAGGAAGGACATGGACCTGTTGGAGCAGGACCAAGGCAAGAGCCACAAAAATGATCAGAGGGATGGAACATCTCTCCTATGAGGACAAGCTGAGAGAGTTGGGGTTGTTCAGCCTGGAGAAGAGAAGGCTCCAACGAGACCTTATTGCAGTCTTCCAGTACTTAAAGGGGGCTTATAGGAAAGATGGGGACAGACTTTTTAGCAGGGCCTGTTGCAATAGGACAAGGGGTAATGGTTTTAAACTAAAAGAGGATAGATTCAGACTAGATCTAAGGAAGAAATTTCTCCCAATGAGGGTGGTGAACCACTGGCACAGGTTTCCCAGAGAGATGGTAGATGCCCCATTCAAGGTCAAGTTGGATTGGACTCTGAGCAACCTGCTCTAGTAGAAGATATTCTTGCTTATTACAGGGGGGGTTGGACTAGATGACCTTAAAATGTCCCTTCCATCCCAAGGATGCTATGATTCTATGATTCATGGTATGTTACTGAAGTCATTGTTCATTGTGCAAACTTCTTGCTTCTCCAACTAACTTGTGTTCACCCAGGTATCTAAGTACCCAGTTCCTTCTTGGCGTCTGTTTTGTATGCTCCTACACAACCAACTTACAGTTTCATGATTATTCCATTTACAAATCACATTTTTCATCGTAATACTAAAGATCTGTTTTTTTCCTTCTAAGAGTCTCTCTTGAATCCTGGCAGACGTTACCAGCCAACTACGAGATCTGCCTGTCTAAGGCTTTTCTTTCAGTCCAGCTTCCTAAAACAAACAACTGAAACCTATAGAAGAATTTCTCTCTGGCTTCTCCAGACAGGTCTGAGATTATACACCTATGTGATTTCAGACCATGAATTTATAAGTTGGTAATATGGAAAGTTGATTATTCCAGAGGAAACAGGCCAACAGTGTCAATTCCAAAGGGATTTCCCCTGTAATTACTTCGTACTGGGCCACTAATACTCTTAATATCTTGAAATACTATATTAAGTAGAAAAGTTTAATCCTTTTCAAAGCAGTCAGTTTTCTAGGCCAGCATTACTCATTTACTAGGATGAAAGCAATTTTTGGCAGTATTAATAATGCTCAGGAACAACAGAACTGTTTTCTGTCAGGAAAAAATATTTTGTGCAGAGAACAACACTGTGCTGGGAGATGTCCCCTGTGGAATATCTGATGGGCTGAAAACAATCACAAAACTTGTAGGCTTTTCGGTGAAATGCATAATGGATTTTGACCTTGCCTCATTAAACAGCAGTACATAATACATTATGTATAAAACCCTCAACTCACACAATAAACATTTTACAACAGGGTAGAAATGGAACACAGGAGAACAAGCATCAAAAGAATCCTATCTTCTTGTTAAATTACATGCTTCTGGAAATCATTCTGGTAGGAATTAATTTGACCAAATGCTTATGTCTAAAACATGTAGGTATGTACATATAAAAAAGTCATCCCAGGCTCTCTTTATTTCTCTTTTTATGGAAAGAAGTTAAACACTTCTAAGGTACAGTTCATTGGATATCTAAAATATACATCTAAAATAAGTTAGATAAATAATTCCCAGCAGGGGTAGATTTATCTCCATTGACTACAAAGGGAGTCTACGTTGACTAGCTAGATATTGAAGGCTAAATTGTTGGTACCTAACATTGTGAGATGAATCCCAACCTCAGAGACCACTGTGATGAGGCTAACGTAAAACCGTGAAGATCTGAGAATTAATTTACTCTTTATGAAATCATGTTTCTACTGCAAAATTTACCTTGAAGATGTAGCAAACAACAACACAAGGAACAGGCAAAGCTTAAATGCCACTACTAGAGATTAGTTGTCACAGGCTCAGCTAACTTCATGAGACTGTGCAGTTTCTGAAGAATGGTCTGTTCTCCCCAGCCCTATTGAAATAACCTTTTAAGTGCTCTTAGAAGTGGATTTTATTTGTCTCCTCAAAAAAAAAAAAAAAAAAAAAAAAAAAAAAAAAGCTGTCTGTCTTGTGAGGAAGGCTTCTGTTACCACCGAAATTTCTGTAGCTGTTGTCCTTCTTGTTTCTTGCTATACTGACACTTAACATGTATGTGTAATGAAGAAAACAGTAAGAAACTCAGAGGATACCCTATGTTAGGGTATTAGTTATACTATATCGGAGCAAGGACTGCTTGGGTTATTTCTCCACATATCTCTGTCAGTGTCACCAGGTAACAGTTACTGCATCCTGTCCCGTAATTTACAGTGTTCAGGAGAAATCTGTGTCAAAGTAAGGGTAAAGGTTTTTCTAAGCATTTTATGAAGCCCGTTGTATGTGTAAATGTCCCAGTTTGTCTTACTTGGCAAAGCGTGGTAAAGCCGGTTTAAGATAAAGGGCAACTTCTATGTGAGTGATGTGGTTTGTTATACAATGATTATCAGGAAAAACGCAAAAAAGATAGTAGCAACTCATATATAAATAGTATCCTATAATCAGTACTAGGTGCTTGAGTAATACACTGAACTGAAAAATATAACCTGATAGTTTCAAACAAATGTAGTTTATGTGGTGAATATTAAGTAACATCTTGAAAATTTACAGTTTTTTGCAGTAACATTAGGCCAAGTTATTTCAGAATCTATGATTTTCCACTAATAAATCATTACACTATTTCCAGTATTTTCAGCAGATAAAAATATTTATATATACATCATGAGCAGCTGAGACTGATAGCAGCAAAAAATTAATTAGAATATTGTCCCATAATGGCTGTAGCACAGTTACATTATGAACTGCCAATGATCAGGTCTCATTTTTAATATGAATAAACAACAGATTAAAATATTTTTGAATGGAAGTGCAGAAATAAGATGAATACTGCATATATGCTAGGAGATAATATATGAACTTCTGTCCATTTATAAACGTATGTTGCATTCTCTGTCGTGTAGTTCGATAGGAAGCCACAGGAACAAAAGATTCTATCTTTCTGAAGATGGGGGTTAGAACTGAGAACCACAGTTTTGTTACAGATACAGGATGGCTCTGCGGGAGACTGGAAAAGAGTTTCTTTAATGACTTGGAGTAATTAAGCAGCTGGGCAGGGATGTAATTTAATCACGCTTTGAAAGTTATGTGAGCAGAGCACCGTGATCTCATTCCCAGGAGTAAATTCAGAATTGAGAGGAGACCTTGTGTGAAACCTGTCTGAAAGCACTCTCATTTGGGGACATTATATTGTAGGAAAGTTGACCGGTTTTTGGAAGTAAGATGCCCGTGGATATACCTGGCTCATGGGAAGTGCTTGAGCTTACAACAACTATTTTCTTCTTGACATCCATGTTTGGGTTGTTTTTTTTTTTCATTTCAGAGGAAATGAGACAGGTGTTGCCCACTGTTGTTCTAGATAAGCAGCTTCAGCCGCTGAGATTTTATTCTCTTGGCTGAAATTGTAAGCTTTAATAAATGGCTTGAGTTGTTGGTGATCTCTGTGCTGTAAAGGTGGAAGTTAGTGAATATCCTCATGTTTTAAGAAAGTGCAGTCTGGTAAGATTTCTTTAAATTCAAAGAATGCTTCTTTAAGAACTACAATATAAAACAAAGGAAGTTGTTTAAGCCCACTAAGTAATATTTTTATTGATAATATATCTTTAAGCATTAATATCTGATAAATTGCAAAATCGTTATTTCCTTTACATTATTAAGAACCGTTTCATTTCTTTATATATAGATTCTGAAGTTTAACATATTTTGGTATTCCAGTGATACACAGTTAAGTTTTGCAACACAAAGAACGCATTTTATTACTGAATTGAGGAATGGATATGTAGAAGTGTTTTTAAACCTGTGCTTACAAGGTACTGTTACCACTTGTATCTGTTTTTAGAGTCAGATAATATTGTTCTGTGAGCAACAGGTTATGATATGATCTATTAAATATTTTGTGATGGAAGAATTAGAATATTATGAAAAACAGGAGGAAAATGTTGCCATTCTAGATAGCATAAAATAAATTTAAGCCTCCTGAAAATAGCAGTTGATGCAGTTCATATATTAAAACATCACATCGTGTGTACCAAAAGGTGAGATGTAAGTGTAATTTGAATGGGACATGATGAAAATGCTTTCTAGGCAAAACATCATTAAGAATTTCTAGTAACTTGCTATTACAACTATATCTTCATGTTTTCCTTTCCTTTTATATAAATATTTTTAATTTAACTCAAACAACTAAGCAGTCCCTTTTTTTTCTTTACACAGCAGATGGTACGTGAACAATACACTACAACAACACCAGGCACTAGCCTAGAGAGGCCAAAGAATGAGTATGTCTACAAAATTGGAATTTATGGCTGGAGAAAGCGTTGCCTCTACCTGTTTGTCCTCCTCCTGCTTATCATCCTAGTTGTGAATTTTTCTTTGACAATTTGGATCCTTAAAGTGATGTGGTTTTCCCCAGTAAGTGTCCTCTTTAATTTTCCGTTCTTCTAATATTTTCTTCTCTTCCCTGCCTTACCACTTCACTTATTTTGTATGTACATCAGCTTCTCTGTATGTAATAGATGGTTCTTTTTAATTCCTTCTTAGCGGTGATTTGTACTTTGGTTGAAAGTATAGAAGAAATATCTGTCTTTGAACATACTTCCTAATATGTAATTTCAGTATTTTAAAGATTATTACCAATATAGAGGTTGTTGATACCTTATACTGAGGTGAATTCTAACCATTCTAAGAGAATGTATTTTACTGTTGTCTCATAGTCTCTGTTTAGTTTATATTTTATAAATGTGTTTGCTGTAATTTTATCCCATACAGAATTCCACAGTGTTAAAATATCGCTGACAGTTGCTGTTTTTTCTTAGCTTTCTTCTCCTGTTTATCAGCATCTAAAATTTAACGATTAATTTGCCCAATTAATTACAGCTCAGAGGTGGTTATTACTACTTCGCGCTTGAGGCTAAGTAGCTATATTATTCAGGAATAAATTTAATAACTTTCCACTGTCATATATTTTAATATTTATAATGTAATTTTGCATGTAGTAGATTAAAGGTTAACTTTCAGAAGTCTGCAAGATGCAGGTTTAGTCAGAACACAATAAAATGCATCAGTGAATATTGAAGCTAAGCTGATTTGTTCCTAACATGAAGTCATGATACACAGAGTATTTAAATAGAATTGTTACACGAAAAGCAATAATAGTAAATACCTACAGCTCTGCTGCTGCTACTGAAGAAAGTGTTATATTAAAGTTCCTATTAGCTATTGTTATTATGCCTCTGTCACTAAATGAGGGCCATTTTATCTTCATAGAAGCATTTCTATATTCTACTTTCTCTTAGTATAAAGAAAGTAGGTTAATTTTAAGTGCTACTTACTAATATAGTTACTAGTGCTTGAATTCTTGTCAAGTTTCTTCTCCCACATAAATTCTTCTCAGCACTGTTACTGTCATACAGATTATAATGCAGAACATCTTAGATCACATCTAATTTTTCTGTTATGCGGTTCACATGGAAGATGTGCATTTAGTGACTGCACATCATGAATCACAGAGAACATGAATAACTTAAAATTGTTTTCTGTGTGGCTCAGGTGTACATTTTTAAGGAGTTTTAAAAATTGTTTTCTGTTGGTTTGGTTTCTTTGTGTGAAACTAGGTATTTCTTTTCTAATATCAGTCAGGACTGAAAAAATAGCATCAGAAATTCCACTTCTAGGAACTCCTATCTCCTACTAGTTATCTGTGAGGAAGGCATCAAATGCCTTGATCTGCTGAGGCACAGCGTCCTTCTGCCTTGGCAACAAGAGCAGTGGAAAGACAGCTGAAGTAGTGCAGGCTTACATTCTTTCACAGGGCGGACTGTGAATGCCATGGTTATAAGGGTTTTCCTAATTCTCTCTGAAAGAATCTGTATTCCTGACATACGTGGTTAAGTAGTGACTTAACTGCAATGCCTTCATGCATTTGGGATAATTCTAGGGAAATATCTATGTTTCCGCTAAATACCGGCTACGATAACAACTGCGCAAATTACAGGTGTATGTCACAGTCCTCAGCAAAATTATGCATGAGGTCAATAAGAACGGAGAACATTTTTACTGAGTATTGTTTTAATAGACTGAATCTGTCAAGACAAGAAGTAACTCTGAAGACACCAGAAGTATCATCCAAGAGGTATAGGGGTTAACTGCATGTTCAAAATCTGCAAGTATAATTGAAGCATCATGGTCCTTTCCTGTGTCTAAGGAAATGCTGTTTGTAAAGAATGAGGGTAACAGTCATAGAAATAACCAACACTATCATCAAACCCTTTCCTGATGGAATTAAGCACTTATGCCTCCAGGTTTTTGGTTAGTGTGTGAAAAAGAGAGATAACAATATGTTCTCGGGAATAGATTTTTAGGGTTCTTGAGTTCCAAGCTTGACAAGTATTTGGTTTTTAGGAAATCAGAAGATTCATAATATATCCCGGAATCATTAAGGTTGGAAAAGACCTTTAAGATCATCAAGTCCAACCATCAACCCAAAACCGCCATGCCCACTAAACCATGTCCTGAAGTGCTACGTCTACAAATTTTTTGAACACTTCCAGTCATGGTGACTCCACCACCTCCCTGGGCAGCCTGTTCCAGTGCTTGACCACTCTCTCCGTAAAGAAATTTCTCCTAATATCTAGTCTAACTCCCCAGCGCAACTTGAGGCCATTTCCTCTCGTCCTATCCTACTTATCCATTTAAACATTCCCATTACTGGGAAGAGTTTAAAAGTAATTGTCAATATATCCTATGCAGTCTTCAGTTATTTGACAAATATAAGCCTGCCACCTCTAATGATACTTTTTATTTTGATTAATTATGTGTTCTAGGTCTATTATGCAGAGATTATACTACTTATTAGGTTTAATATTAATAACAGATATTGTCTTTTTAGCTAATACTTTAAAAGTATTCAGTCCTAGTTTAAAAAAATACGTTAAAATGTTATCCCTGTTAAGAATATTAGAATATTAAAATCTAATAAAATATTAACAACTGTTTCTCTGTAAAATAATACAAGAAACAAGTTGGTTTCTTTCTCAGGTTGATAAAATTTATCATGTTTTTTCTAAATATATTTTTTAAAGGTATTTTTTTAGTACAGTTCTGAAGAGAGCTTATGCTCAAAGAAAACTTTAAACATAACATGACTGTAGTATGTAGTTTTGTTAGGAAAACAGTTTTGCAGTATAGTGCATAGGGGTGTTAGTGCTTTAGTGGTTGATTGGCATAGTTCTGTACTACAGCCCGTTTCATGAGCCCACTCAAAATTAACAAAATTGTAGACCTCCAAGTTTCTTTTATAGGATAATTATTTTTTTCTGTAAAGCATCCTTAAATCTTTCAATAAATAATAACTTGCAGTATACAAAAATCACATGCTATTTCTACTCATAGATCCAGGTTAAAATAATAATGAAACTATGAACAGAGCTTTAGCAAGCTCTGGCATAGAATTAATCCATGCACACATCTTCTGTCTCAACCCAGAAAAGCAGACAGAGTCATAAATACTAGCAACAAACTAAGCTGATAAAGGAGAACTTGAACCAGACTGAGACATGCTGCAAGATGAATAGATTTTTAATCTCCTTGTTAGAAATTTAGAAGGGTGATGAAAGACAGAGACTTTTCTAAACTCCGTTGTTTGAGAGGCCTTCAGCATTGAAGGAACACGACTGAATTGAACAGAATTTCATTTCATTTTATTTCGTAAAATCTATACTAACCTGAACAGAGAACATATTCATACTGCCCCAATATACATAATATATGAGCATCCCCAAGTTGTGCAGACTTGCAAGTATCAGATATGTCTCTTCTTTTTTTCTTTTTCTCTCCTGAAGTTCAGGGGGTCTCAAGTTTTGTGGGGGGCCAAGAGAAGAAAGCTGTGGATTCATTATATTCAGCTGTTTTAGAGAAGACAGAATCAAATAATTATGCCTTGAATTTGGTGAATAAGGTGAAATAGAGTTTAAAAACCAGAACTAGTTTTGCATGAAAATTAGGAAGTTTGGGAGAAAATGGACAATGGGGTTTTTTCCCTGGACATAGCATATCAAAATTTTGCGTGAAATGGAAGTTCCAGCTTTTTTTTTTAACGTATTGAGGCTTTCTGAGAACTAATGGGGACTGCTAGTCCTAAGAGCTTAGAAGCTAAGAATCTTAAGGGATTTAGAGCTGCAACAGGGCAAGGATGTCAGAAGTCTGTGAACAATTCTGAAGAGTCAGATAGGTCTGAAAGAGGAGAACTTTAACATCCCTGACATCTGCTGAGAGGACAAACGTACTATGATGGAAGCAGTGAAGACTTCTATATCCCATGGGATCCCATGGGAGGCAGATCTGAAGGGTAAAGTTACTCAGGAAAGCGTGCTGGTGCTTAAGGACAGTATCCTCCAAATGCAGGAATCCTGATGCTTGGGAAGATAAATAGGCTGGCTTAGCTAGACAGGTTACTTGTGACGGAGCTCCAATGCAAAAAACGGCATAGAAGAGTTGGAAGCAAGGACAGGCTACAAAGAAGAAAGTTAGAAACATTGTCTGGGACAGGAAATGTGTGAGGCTTCCTGTGTCAGGAAAGCCAAAGCTTAGCTTTAGTTAAGACTTAGAAGGGACAACAAGGGCAACAAGATGGACTGCATCCATGGGTGCAGAGAGGACTTCTTGGTTCTCTTGCAAAGTTGCCCTCTGCCACATTTAAAAGATTATGGAGGCTGGGGAGATCCTCAGTTACTGGGGGAACGCAAGTGTTGCACTTGTCTTCAAAAAAGGAGGCCAAAAGGGCAGCCTAGTGAATTATGGCCTGCTCAGCCTCACTTCAGTCCCTGGGAAAATGATGGAGCAAGTCCTCTCGGAAGGCATTTCAAGGCCTGTGAAAGAGAATAAAGTAATGGGGAAGGCAGCACAGATTTACCAAGGGTGAATGATGCCTGACCAATGTGATTACCTTCTATGATAAACTGTCTGGATTTATAGATGATGGGAGGGCACAAGATGTCATTTACCTTCACTTTAGCAAGGCTTTTGACAGTCTCCCACAATATTCTTGTACCCTAGTTAGCAGATTGCAGCCCGTGACGGGTGGACAACCAGACAAGTAAAAAAAATGGCTGGATGGTCAGACTCCCAAGGGAGTTATTAATGTGTTGTACTGTGCATGGAGGCCAGTAATAAGTGTTGCAGGGGTCTATCCTGGGACTGGACCTTTTTAACAACTTTATCAATGGCTTTGAAGAGGTGACAGAATGCTTGTTCACTAAGTCTGCAGATGATACCAATTTTGGTGTACCATTCAATACTTTCAAGGTTTGGGCTGACATTTAGAGAAGCCTAGAGGGGCTGGAGGAATGATCGAACCGTATGAAATTCAAGAAGGACAAGCGCAAATCCTGCTCCTGGAAAGGAAGAACCTCTGG